TGTTTGAGTAGAAATGGCTGACATATTGACATCCTGATCTGAGTAAATGATTAAGCAGGTTTCAGCACACCACTGTTTAAGACTCTGCTGGGATACTAATTCATAAGACTAGGAGAATTGTTTTAATAAGTCTCATTAGAGATTCCTTAAAAGAAATTTCATAGTGCATTTTCAATATAACTGATATTTGCCTAGTGAATTATTTATAATAAGTACATTCACATTTATAATCATATATTCATTTATAATTAGCATTCATATTAAATCAATGAAATAATTCTTAGCTATTATGAATTGTTAGGTCCAGTAACCCTTAAAAAACAAAGCAGTGGTCCCTATTCCTATGGACTGATCCATGAAGAACTAAATAATTTTGCAGTAGTGGAGTCAGAGAACCCATTTGTCCAAACATGTTTGTATATTCTGCATTTTGTGAGTATTCTTCCTTATAATTAAAGTACAAAATCATTTAAAATGTTTCATTTCTGAAGCAATTTCATGTCAGTGTAATAATGTATGAATTTATGTCGTCAAGCAACTGGTACTAGCATCGACAATGACTAAAAATGTGGGATAAAACTTTTGGATGCTCTGATGGGTTTATTACTTTTCCATTTCCATCCCATCTTACAGTCTGCTCTCTATGCAAGGGAATCACTAATGGTGACTTCACTTTCAGATTTGCTGTACTTTGCCTTGTAGTGGATCTGGAAGGTGGAAGCCAAGTGAAACTGGGGCGTTAATGCCCAGGGCTTCATTTCTGTGGACTGGCCATAATTGATATTCTGGATCAAAGTTCTCAGTTCCAAACAGGTGGCCTCCCCAGCAGTTTGCCCTGTCTTCTCCTGATGGCAGAGCAGCTCACCACAGGAATACTAGCTCAGACTTAATTGTGCCTCTGTGTGTCTGCCATGGAAGAGAATGCCCTTATTAAACTCAAGTTATCCTAATTTAAACTTGTCATTTCCCCGATAATGTGTAGAATCTAACATTTACACATATTCAAAGCAGAGTTTTCATTCAAGAACACTCTTACAACTGTTGACTTTTATTTCTCCTAGCAAATTGCTTCATTAATCCAGAGGGGAACATTATTTTACTAGATTGTTCAAGTGTTTTTTACCTGTCTCATGCTTCAAATTTCTATGTATTTATCTTTCCTAGTACGAATTAAATTATTGCTAGAATCAAAGATCAAAATTGGTCTTCCATTTTTCATTTACAATGTGATTACTTGTGTTTAAGCACGTTAAAGGTTTTTTTTCCTAACTATGATTTGGTTTGATGTAGATTCTTTCGTAAAATGTGGGATTTTGAAATGTTAGCAAAACCAAGTGAACTGACATAACTTCGCAAGGCTGATCCCTGAAGAGCTTACTGTCATACAGGAATACATAAAACGGGGAATGAGAACATTAACTGAATTTAAATGTTTAATCTAATTAAAGATGTTAATTACAGGATATAATTTATCTTAAGCTAAAGACTTCAACCAAATGATTCCCCTGGAAACTGCAAATCTGACACCTGCAATTTAAAACTTGTCTAATAAATTCATCGATCTGTTTCTTTAAGTCTTCCTTTTCATAGAACCAGAGAAACACAAAAAGATATTCAGATACTTCTCAAATCATTGTCATCTCTACTGGACATGAACATGTCAATTTTCAGTGAAGCACCTTTTATGACTCATATGAAACTTTCCAAAATCTTACAAGACAATTGGGAGTTAATTACAGCTGTTACCATGTCTGAACTCCAGGTGAACCTTTGTTGAGTTGTACCTTGTGAACTTCCGCTAGAATCTCTCTGCTGAGAATGATATAATTATTCCATTTTGGCACCTGTCACATTCCACTTTGTAATCTCCACAAACTCTTTATTCACCTGTTCAAACCAGTCAATTAGATGATTTTCTCTAAGATTTTAATCTTAGCAATTTCACTTCTGCTGTCATACATAGTTTCATTTTTTAAAACTATAAATGTATATTTCTATTGTTTTTCACTGCAATAAATCACAATATCCATGTGCTTCCCAAAACACTATATTATTCTTAACAATGAAAGTTTTAACTGCGTGTATTTCTCTTTACCCCTCTGTAAACATTTTTCTCCATCAATTCATACCTTACCTTTCAAAGACCAATTAGTCATTTGAAAAAAATCATTGATTCTGAAAATGAACTTGAAAATTAACTTTCACTGATAAATTTTGATAACTGAGTGCTTGCAAGTGACTCAGTTTACTGAGAAAGTGCCAACAATGAAAATTGTTTTCACTATGGATAGCAAAGAATCTGTAACACAATAGTTTAAAGTTATCCAACTGAAATATTAATACTACTCTGGTAGCATAGGAATAAGAAATAATCTAATGTTAGTGTTTTAATATATTTCCTAATTTGTGGGTTAGCATTTGCTTATTTCTATTACAAGTTATTATTGCATTATAATGGTTATGAGAGTATGGTATTACCCAAAGTAAAATTGCATAATTATGTTAACATAGAATGTTTATTACTAACAGCAACAACCTTATGAGTGGATTTTTGACCCTTCTGATTTACCATTTAATTATCTAAGAAACATAAATATTTGATCAGTAAATGGGATATGTGCAATTTTTGAATTTGTATTCTCTTTGAAGGAATGAGGGTGGAGAGTACATCGCAAGAGTGAAAAGAATGCATTAGACCTGTCATTTATGTGCTCAGCAATCGTGCAGCATTTCCTTGTGAAAAACCTTGTCTGATATCATGAGAGACATGAAGGTGTAGGAGATGAAAGTTCTGAGTAACAGTGAAGTGAACAAGAGACAGAGAAAATCTCAGTGTAAGGTAGAGGGAAAAGGGATACAACTGTATTGCCAAGGCAACTGAGAGCACAAATTATTTCCAAATAAGGAACTGAGAAAGTCTTTTTGGAATAGTTGGATTTTGAGTTGGGTTTGAAAGGATGTAAAGACCTTAGCCTTAGAAAATGGAATTAATGTGGAAAAAGAACTGAGCACAAGTGCCTATAAAATGTAATTTTTATGTAAATGTACAGTTCACTAAAATAACAGTTATGGTATTCTAATACTGACATTGATTTTTTTACATACATGTGTTCAGTAAATTTCCTATTTTTTCAACTATTCAAAGATAAATTATAACAAGCCTGCTTTTCTTCTTCCTTGTCTTTTAGAGTAATTTGAACCTTTTTAAAATTTCACTGAAAGGCAGACAGTACATTACTTATGCAAAATGAATGTAAAATATATGCGTTCTAAATATAGCTGTGCAGAATTAATCAGTGGATTATTTTAGCCTATTTTAGATGTATTTCTAGTACATGGTTAGTATGTTTTCTCTCAAAGTTTCCAAAATGAGCTATAGTATTTATTCTATTTATGTACCAATGTGAAATGATAGGATTACTCATTTATAATATTAGATGTTCTGCATCTTTTCCATTTGCATAAAGTATCTGATATAATTTTTTTCCTGCATCCTAAATAACTGCTGCATAGTCCATTAGATAATTAGGATAATTAAGATATTCCCCACAACAGAATCCTTAGTCTCATGATGGAATTTCTATTTAACCTACTGCAAGTCAACCCACTAATGTTTAAGTTAGTCATTTACATAATGATATCTTAAGTCATACTGTCTCAACAGAAATCAATACACACTCAGTCTTTCCCTAATTGCCAGAGCATTCTTTCTAAATAAAATTCCACTTCATTGCTCTTACAATGCTGGCCCTTGAGCTATGAGAAAAGCCAAACTTCTATTGTACATGTAGATTTTGTCTGCTCCATTGTGACTTTGTTTCTTTTTTTTACAGCCTCTCTTGCAAATATTACTCTAGAAATATTAAGAGGTACCACTTACATCTTCTTCAGTGCTGATAAAATTTGATCCGTAAATGATCAGTACAATATGAGTGGTAAACTACATTGTCTATTGGTTTTTTCTTCCGTAAGAGGAAGAAATCAATGTTCACATGCAACTCTTATCTTGCTTTGAAACATGCAACATGCTAAAGAAAAAAACACGTAAGTACCTAAATTTTCTAAAAATGTTTTATACCAATTTTATTCATTAAGACTAAAAGGCAGATATCACACAAATGTCTTTGGACTGGTGAATGAAGACAAAATATGATAGCTCTATAGAATGAATCACTGCATATAGAAAAGTAAAACGCAAAATACTGGAACTATATAAAAATAGTAAGTCTTTGGGTTAAAGAATTCAGTTTCAAAATGCTATATATTGTATTCATTCTACTTTTATGACATTGTACATATAGAATGAACAGATGAGATTTTAGATCCTGAGGATGGTGAAGTTGGTTACAAAGGCCCCTGAAGAAACGCTTGGGGGTGATGGAAGGCTTTATACACCAATTTTGAAGGTAGATAAATAATACTGTGCATTTGCCAAAATCAAAATTTGGTCCCCTAATTTAGTAAATATGGTTGTATAAAAAACAGCATTAAGTCCTACTTTAAAGGAAAAATTTAATCAATAGGTAGGGAAAATCTGGACCAAATTAAAGAAATATATCCAATAATCACCAAGAGATTCATCAAGAAAGGAATCTTGGGCTCTAAAACATTTTAAGAATTACCCTCTTCTCAGAATACCAGTGACATTACGTTTAACTTTAAAAATAAAAATTATGTTTTAGAAAAAATCAACTTGGAATAAATGTTTTATTTATTGCCTTGATTAGAAGTTCACATTAAATATCCTTAAAATATTAGTGTTTAACTAGAAGTTTAATTATTTGATTATCTCACGGATTCAGTCTCAATAACTTATTACTATTTCATACTTTGCAAGCGCAAGGATATTACATTTTAGCTCTCACAGTATACTGAGCAGTTGTTAATTCAGAAAACAAATTAAGACAAATCTGAGAAATCGCACATAACTGGCAATTCAAGTTAAAAACACAGAATAGAGATCATGCTGGGAAGGATGCATTAGACAATAAAAATCTTACCTTTGTGTTTGGGTCCCATAGTTGTTATCATAAGGCTCATAGATCTGGTCATCATAATCACCCCCATAACCATCATCATACCCCTAGGAAAGAAAATAGCAGACAAATACGTTAGTAATCAGTTTGACTCATTTTTACTTCTTTTGGGTTAAAAAGACTGGTTTAGTTTTTATGGTTAGTAAGTCTGTAGCCAATTTTACTAGGATATTAACTCCTAGATAGATTTATGAAATCTTATTCAAGGCTAACATTGTTAATTAAACTCAGGATATAATTGCAATATTGATATCAACTCTAAGATAAATTCATAATTTTGATCAATATTAAATACTTAATAGCTTCAAAATATTAAGGGAATATAAACATTTTGATAAACTAATGCGGTTTTCGTGTTTATTGCTATCATTGGAAGCTTTTTTCTAATTAATCATGAAGACGACAGTAACAAAAAAGTACAAGATATTTAAATTGAGGCCAACGTTCAGTTTAGAAAGTTAAAGAAGTAAAAAAGAAAGGACTGGAATAAAAACCTTCCACTAAGTTACAAATTTAAATTTCATAAATAAACTAGCTTTATGCAGTGAGTCTGAATCCCTAAGTAAATTAACAAATTGAACGCGTATTTGTCATTCTAGCACGTGCGGCAGCTGGCAATTACTCACTTCAGTTATCCATCACTCTGAGTGATTTACATTTCTTTCCCTTTGTGGTCATTGAGTTTAAACTCTACTCATCCATCTTCTGGACCCTGCACTTCTGGAAAAAACCTTCAGATTTTTTGTCCTGATACTAGCTGATGCGTGTATTTGTGGGATGAACTTCCACTCTACTGCAACAATTCAGTCTAGAAACATACAGATCTTTTTAGCTTGTTCAGCAATTTCAACAGAAAATACCTACATGTAGAAAATTTCAACTTTTCATCCAATGAATTTACATATATTTTTGTGAACTTATGAAAATTTTAACAATTACTTTATTCCTTTATTTGATGCTGTTGCTTACATATGATATTTTATGGATCTTTCATTTATTTTCACTCATTATTTTTAATTTGATCATATTTTTGCTCTGCGGTACTGGATGGTTCCTCCATCTGAACTTGGAAATATTCTACAGTTACTTTAGAGTATCTATACACAAATGGATGCAGATTTTTAAAAAATATTACCAAATAGCTTGTGTAAAAATAAAAGTTACTTTTCATCTTTTCATTTATCATTTATTTTTGCATTACTAAGATTTATTGTTGCTTCACTTGCCAATTTTTATTATCTTGTATTGACTGGAATGTTACATTGTTAACATTTAGTTCTACTATGGATTCTCTTCCATATACCTTGATCAAAATTGCTTAATACAATTTTACATTTATTCTCAAATACTTTCTGGTCCTTCTAAAGCTATTGTTCATCCATTTTTTATATTCTTGGTTCTCTATATCTTTAGATCTATTTCTTTTATTTCCAAGTTGTAGTAAATTTGAATTATTGCCATATGTTAAAAACATCACTTCTTTTAGTCCAACAGGGAAGTCACCTCCTGAAAAGCTGTACTGCCACACTGCAGTCCAGAGGGCTGCATTTCGAAGCATGAAGGCAGAGGGTTTACTTGAGCTCTCTTGAAATGTGCCGAATTTCCTGTAACTGAATTTTGTCTTTTCCTTGCTCGTGTCGTCCACTAAAACATCTCTTTTTCAGTAACCTCTCTGACAAGCCTTATTCTAAGCATTTTGATTATCCGTCTCCCTCTTAAATTTGCTGCTTCTTCTCACTTCAGATTTATTCTTTTTAAGGTGAACATTTTCATTCACAAGAAAAAGCGGGGCTACAGAAATGGAAAAATCGTCTACCCATCTCTTAGATTCACCAATCATAGCCATTTAATCCCAGTTACATTTTATATGCATCTTCTAGGCAATTTACATCTCAGTTCTAAAAATGGCATTAATACCTGAATGCATTATTTCCTGCATATGACATTCTTCTATATAAATATGAGCATTACTCTTTTTAAATTCACAATAACCTCTTTGATACTGTTAATTTATTATCATGTTCTATACTTTCTCAAATATTTATCAACTTTATAGACAGTTCGTAACACTCAAAAGATATTCTAATCACAAATCATGAGTTGCATTTGATGATTATCTTTTTGTTAATTACAGAGCTAGCATAGTTTTCCAGCCTTTTAGTGTTTCTCCTCTTATTTTTAATCACTCAAACTGATTTGTAGACATTTTCATATTGTGATTTTGAGTATTCTGATTATATTAAGCAGCCATTGTGCACTTTTAATTCATAATCTGCATTCTTTTAGTAGTTGTGGCCCCATTTTACTACTCTTTGTAAACCTCATTCTAGTGAGATTAGATTTTTCTGATTTAGTTCATATAATCTCTCTGTCCTATTGGGCATTTTTTACTCTTTGCTAATAAATTCATCTTCTAAAATTTTGTATAATATATTTTAATTTCATTGAAATCACATACATATTAACACATGTATACACAGGGATAGGCTACTAAGAATTTTTTTTTTTCAGATATCGTATAAGCTCTCAACTCTCAAATGAAGGCCATCACTGCCCTACAGTGGGACAAGGATTAGCATCAGAGTTGGAATTTCCCCGAGCTGGTACAGTTAGGTCACTCCAGCTCTCTCTACCTAGAAATCACCTTTATTAATAACCACAGGAAGAAGAATAATTGCAATAAGTGCCCTAAAGGGAGAATGGCTCATTGCAAGCATCCAGGCTATTGGTCCTTGGGCAGGATTTAAAAGTGTGCCCTTAACTCATCCTCAGTTCTTATTTAGATGGCATGAGCTACATGAGTTTTAGCATGTTCCATTTTATCTTTGTGTTTGTGTTAAGGAGCTAAAAGCAGCAAGTTAAATGATTTCAAAGCTCTAGGTTCCCTTAATTCCCTGTTTCTCCCTTTCCATCCCCTAAAATTCTGCTTATGATACAGTGTGACAAGATCTTCCTTTGCTTAAGAAACAAATGGTAACCCTTAGTCCTTTGAATTAAGATAGCGAGTTTGTTTCTCACTGGCACTATAGTAGCTAAACATGTACTCTATTTTTTTTTTCTCTTCATTTTTTAAAGTTTTCTTTCTATAGAGTCTAAATCCTTGAAAAGCAAAGTAATTAAAACCTTTGTGATGCTCTGCGGTGTTTATTATAGTGTTCCACAGAGTAATCATTCAGTAAGTTTGTTGAACATTACAATTTGCACTTACATTTATACATTTACTTTTAAGAAAACATTTTTTTGTCTGCTAACACAAATTTCATGAAGTCTATGGTGCAATAGTTTCCCAAAATGGTCATTACTCTAAAAGAGAATATAAATATAGCTATTTGTACATAATCTTTGTATTCTAATACTTGATATATTTTTATAAGATCATGAGTATAAGTATTCAATGTTTGTAACTATTTGTAAACAAGTATGTGTGTATATAAATATTGGAAACCTCCTAGTACAATATAACAAACCATGCTTAGTCTTCAGCTGTAAAACAAAATCATTGTAATGTTTAAGATGGAAATATTTCATCCTAAGTATAACAGAACAAGGTCATCTGTTACCCATGTGTGTGACCTGCTTGCACACATCAAGACAGTGCACGTACTGCTGAGACTATGGCAGTAGAGGGCTTTCTGAAGGAGAGAAAAGAAAACAGAACTAGCTAGAATGCAGGGCAAGGAGAGATGGCAGTGCAATCCACAAGGATTACACTGAATTCTTTCTTCAACTATTCAGTTTTAGCATCCTAACAAGATTTCCTGACCAAGGATTTACTCTGTCTTCACTCTAGTTTCCTAGAGTAAAACAGAATGTTATAAACTACTTCATAACATTTTATAGGAATTTGACCACAGACTACTTGTAATATGTAAACACCAACCTGATAAAGTAATTGCCAAGTTCACTATAAAGGCATTGGGGGGAAGAAGGAATTGAGAAGAACAATATAGATATTGTAGAAAGGAAGAAAGCCCCCAAAATACTTATTTTAACATTATAAAAAGAATTAGGCCTATCTCCTTTCTTTAGAATTTGAAATGAGTGCTAAGAATCTTTCCCACTCACCAAGCCATTTATTTCATAAAATTTTTTGGAGCATCTACTAAATGCTGGGCAGTTCTTTAGACCTGCAAATTTGTAGTAAAAGAACAGAGCTCCAGAAAATAAAGGAAAATAGGAGAATAATTGGAGAAATATTATAAGAAGTCATTTAACCTTCAATGAACTGAATTTGATTGGGGTTCTGCCATTGTCTTGTGAAGTGTCAGTTTTTTATTCACACTTTTTATAATTGGAGATGAAATAATCTGAGAAGCAGAGAGATTAATGACACCTGACCAGTTTCAGCAAATGTATCCGCAAACTAACAGTGGGTTCTCCTGTACTAACTTGAATCACAGTTGCTAGAGAATGTGCTTCCTGAATATTCTCAAAACTTAATTTGGTAAAAATAAAACAGCTCGTTTAAGAAATGTATTTTGACTTAAACACTAATTCTTAGACTATGACTTCTATTACAGAGTTGAAATTTAAGTAATATTGGATGTAAAATGAGCTTGAATGTATTAAGTCATCAAGCTTTACATTCATCAATGAATTATCTGTTATCTGGAAATCAGGCATACAAAAAAATAAATAAGATTTAATCCTGTGTGAGTAATTCTGGCCCAGTGGTTTCTTTTTATTAGTTTGCTTTGGTAAATGCTGTATGATATCCTGACTGCAAGATAACTGACAACCAATCAATGATGGCACTCTGTTGAGAGCAGTCCCATGACCCCTGCCTCCAGGGACTGAGCCAAGTACAACAGGTAGAAACAACAATTGTAATGAAGACAGCACACCCAGTGGAGAGTGGATAAGGAAAGTGGGCACAGGATGAGACAATATGGAACACAGGATATCTGATGACCATGTGAAAAAGGGAACTACAAACAACACAGCTGTTCTGCCTTTCAGGGTTAGATCTGAACCAAGAGGATCTTCACTCAGCAGTACATCCAGGAGATTCCTGTCAGAAACCACAGTGACACAGACATCGAAGGCA